CATCATGATTTAGATTAGCGATGGAACATCAATTCTGTTCCACCCAAGCCCCTTGTCCTATCCCATTCCATTTAGAGAGTTCTCAGACATAACTTGAGAACTATCAGAGCCAATAGAAACATTTAAAATGTATCACTTACCTCGCTTCTACATCAGCCTTTAATTGGAGTAAGCATTGTAAACTCTTTGCCTTTCTGTATGTTGCAGCCAAGTGGATTGGAAGGATGGCTAACCCCTTGGGATGATAGAAATATATTACAGGTCTCAGACTGTTTCGAAACATATTTCTTTCTCAGAAGTTATATTAAAATAATTCAGTTTTCTTAAAATTAATCAGTTTATTCTGTGTTACACAGAATGTATCCATTTTTGCAATTTCTGTTGCCTTGTAATCTATGACTCATGCTGGAGAATGAATTTTTGTGCCAGGTCAATCGTGGCGAAATTCAGACCATAATGGTCACATCAACTAGCTGTATGACCATGAGTGTGAAACCAAGACGGAGTTTGATTCCACCCTGACCATCTGTATATGTGAACTTACCAGCAGGGGTCATGATCAAGGGTAGGAACATTGGTGACTATTTCTGTGTAATTCTCTTCCCTTCCTGTTTTATCACATTTTAAGGTGAAACACTCCATAGCCTTACTGTTTGGAGTAGGAAGATTAATCTGACAATGCTGTATTCTCCTTTTTAGAGGAACTGTTTCAGTTTGAGCCACCCCAGCAGTCCTCCTTATTAAATAGCTTGTGTATTTGAAGGGAATTAAAGAGATGACCTTAACTCTCTGGGGTTAGTAGATCGATGAAAAAATTATGGAAGCATCCTGGATATTTGACCATTTGATGCATCAAGCTGAGATCAGTCAAACATCTTTCATGTAAACTAAGTAAGATATATCCTGAGGGTAAACAACGTTACATTATGGACATCGTCACCAAGATGCCAAAAGTATTTCAGAGACTATGTGAGGAATCCGTCAACAATGCAATTTGTTATTCTCCAGAATATTTACAGATCGGTAAGCATACAGCAAAAACCTAAGCATCTTGCAACTTTCTGGTTGATAATGCACCATCAACCATAGTAACCTCTGTCACCAGGAGAACAGTATAATAGGATTGAGGTATAATGTTGCATCTTGTCCTTGACTATACCTTTGAGCTCAAAGCTTCAGCTTGATCATTTCAAAGGGAGGTAATTACAAATTGGATAAGTTTTTTGAAATAGGATTAGGCCATTTAGCCCCTCAAATCTGTTTTGCCATTCAATGTGATCTGTGACCAAAATCCATGTACCTGTCTTATACCCTTAATACTTTTGAATAAGAGAAAACTTCTACGTCAATTTTAAACTTACAATTGATCTGCTGTTTGCAGAAGAAAATTACAAAGTTCTATTGCTTTGTGTGTTTAGAGGTTTTTCCTAATTTCACTTTCGAAAGGTCTCTAATTTTTAGATCATAACCCCTTAGTTCTAGATATAACAACCAGACGAAGTAGTTTCTTTCTTCCCTAACTGTTCCCTTTAATATCTTAAAACTTTTGACAATTCCCCCTAAATTCCACAGTACAATTCCAGTTTGATTAATCTTTCCTGGTATTTTGATGCTAAAATCTTGGTATCATTCTGATAACTCTACAATACTATTGTGGTTGGCAAAAGAATCAATGCAACATGATGAAAATTATTTTTATGGAATGAGGGGTTCAGATTTGGCTTGAACTTCCTGGTATGGTGATGTGAACATTCAATAGGAACTCTTCAAGGTGAGTTCAATAAATAGTTTAAAGAAAAAAATAAGTGCAGGGATATGGGGAAAGAACAGAGCATGGGACTAACAGGATTGCTGTTTTGAAAGTGTTAACACAAGCTGGATGGGCCAAATGCTGTCCAATGCTGTATTGGTCTATGATCGCCCCTTCTGTATTGTTATCAGCCGCAAACCTGTTTCCATTGACAATACTTTTATTTGAAATTTGAGAGGGTCCCTTGCTTCGCTCTAAATTCCAAGGAGTATTATGGCCAGGTATGCATGGATGCGAATTCAAGTAATGAGGAAGACTATACAATCAGGTCATTTAATGGCCAAAAATTATGGATTTCATGTAAAACCCCTGATAAACTTAAAGTAAAGGAATGTCTGATTGAATTGCTGGATTTACCTGAGCTGGAAGTGTGGGGAACAAGGCACAATTTTTCCAGATGGTAATGGGATCATTGATTGGATGGACCATCAGCAATCTTTTGATATTCTCTTGGTCTCCTTTCATAATAGCATCATGAAGCTTGGCATGGAGATCATTAAACTCGGCCCGGCATTCGCACATCCTTTAAAGGATTTTATACAAAGTGACTTCAGGATCAGAACGTTCCCTACTCTCTCATTCTTCAAGCAACTGATCTGTGGAAAAATTGGTTGTTATAACTTGCTATGGTCAGATTGAGAGTCGTGCAGGACTCCCTTCTTTTGATGTGTGGTGAGAGATTTCCTGTTAGGAGAGAGCAGTTGGAACCAACACAATTTTGATTCGTGTATGGTTGTGATGGTAATGGATTGTGACGCCACAATCTTTACATTCTGTTTGGAATTTGGATCGTGATGTTACATTCTTGAGTACTGTGCAAAAATCAGATTGACCCACTGCCATTTAACTGATCGCATTGAGTGACAATGTTGGCCAAATTTGTCAAGGCAGATGATACCCATTGATTCTACCTACAGCACATGGACTGCAGCAGCTCAAGAAGGCAGCTCATCACCACTTTCTCAAGTGAAACTAGGGATGGGCAATAAATGTTGGCCAGCCAGTGATGCCCTCACCCAAAAGTGAATTTAAAAAAAGAGAAATATCAGCCATCTCTACACCAACTCCATGACATTAATTATTTTGACAGCTGACATAAAAAGAGCTTTTCACATAAAGAGCCTCAGTATATTTTCATCACTTTCTAACGTTTGATCTGCTTTCTTACAGTAGTTTTTAATAGACTCTTACAGCACAGAGGAAGTCATCCCAATAGTTCCTTCAAAGAGTTAGCAAATCCTCTCCAACTTCTAACTGTGCTTTAAAGTTCGACAATACCAGGCTACATGCTATGAATACTTCTTAGTTCATGATTAAGATATAGCATAATTAAACTATCCTTACATCATGTTCTCTTAAAGCCAAGGAACATTTTTCTCCACGGACCTGACTACCATGTTCGGATTGGGGATTTTGGCCTGGCCTGCAGTGACATCATCACCAAGGCTTCCGACCAATGGCCGGCAACAACCAAACTAAATGGTGAGTTTTGGAGGTCACAGACACGTCTGCACCAGTGAAGCCTCTGCCCTTCCTCTTAGATGAATATTTATAGCACTTTAAAGTATTGTGTATGACTGCTGTCAAAGCTGAGTCATACAAAATTTTAGTTGTGGATGTTCAATTTTTGGTTTGAAGTTTCATTATATTTTGTCCTAATTTTAAAACAACAGATCTGCATTTATACAGAGTTGATACAGTGTGCAGCTGGAGGAGCACAGCAGGTCAGGCGGCATCAGAGGAGCAGGAAAGTCGATATTTCGGGATCCTGATGAAGGGTCCCAACCCGAAACGTCAACTTTCCTGCTCCTCTGATGCTGCCTGATCTGCTGTGCTCCTCCAGCTCCACGCTCTTGACTCTGACTTCCTGCATCTGCAGTTCTTGCTATCTGCATTTATACAGCACTTCTCATTCAGGATGTCCAAAAATCATTTTCAGCCATTGAAATATTTTTGAAATATAGTCATGGTTGTATTGTGGGAAATACAGATCCAACTTGGACAAAACAAATTCTCTCAAACACTAATGTTATAATGGCCCTGACATTTTGCTTTTGTGATGTTGGTAGAGATATAGATATTGGCCAGCACACCGGGCAGAACTGCCCAGCTCTTGGTTGAATAAAGCAATGGTCCACCTAAGCAGACTGAAGGAACCTTGATTTGAATGTGTAATCCAAAAGACAGCAGTGCTGACTGTGAAGCACTCCCTCAGTGCTGTGCTAGGGTGTCCTTTTATTTTCGTTTTTTCAAAATCTTTGAGAGAATTTGTTCTTATGCAGTGTCTTATCACATCCGCAAGCCAATGGGTATTTTTTGTTTTGAAGTGCTATTACTGTTGATTTATAAGTAAACAGAGCAAATACTCTGCAGAAAACAACGTTCCACAAAGAGCAAGTGAACGAATGACCGTAGAATCTGTTTTTGGTACTAATAATCGAGGGAGGAATACTGGCCAGGATGCCAGGAGGATAATTGAATCTTGCAAAATCATCAAATCTTTCAACTTTCAGCCCATCATTATGTACCAGCTCTTTGAGAACTCTCCAATCTGTCCCACTATTTCTCTTTAAAATAAATGTCTAATCCCTTTTTGAAAGTTACTATTGAGTCAACTTCCAGCAGCCTTTGAGGCTGTGCTGTCCAGACTTCTTTACGATTCTAAAAGTTGTCAGGATCCAATTGGAAGTACCTCAGTCCACTGCCTCAGCTAACAACACTCCTGAGTGTAGTACTCTGACAGTGCAGCTTTCTCTTAGAACAGGAGTGAAATGTCAGCTTTCATGCTGAAAACTCTGCAATGTGGCTTGAATTCACAACCCTACTTGGGTCAGAATTATTATTGGAGAAAGAAGTAAAAAAATAGTTCAACTGTTAAAAGGAAAAACATCTTATTTGGAATTATATATTTTTGTTTTCTGACCTCCGTTTCCTCACTACTGTTCAGCTGGATGCAAATAAAATAACCCTACAAGTTAATTTGGAGTGTAACTCGTTGACAATTAAGCCATATTGGGGAAAATCATGAGGAAATGGACATGTATAGTAACTTCCCAGCAAAGATATGTAATGAGTAATAAATTGAGCTTTATTGTATTGAGTTTCTTTTTCTTGTATTCTTATTTTGAGGGCATTATTGACTTTTCCTACTTTCTATTAACTCAGATTCAAAGCACACCTCCGGAGTGGGTACTTGTCTGTATGCTTCCCCTGAACAACTGAGAGGCTCTTCCTATGATTTTAAGGTTTGCACATCTCTTAAGATCGTAACCCCCGTTTAAATTTCAACGTTCTCATTATGTATTCTCGGGACACTTTGTTAACTGATAGATGTTTACAGTTGGAACAGAAAACTGGAATACAATTTGGGCTGATGGAATGTTTTATTAAATGCGTTAAATTCGTGAAAATCTGGAACTCTTCCTGTCTCCTCAGAAAAGCTGCTTGAGACTGGCAGTCAACTGAGATTCTATGAAGGTTGCAGAATTTAGACAGGTAGATTGAGCTATTATTCAGTTGATAAACAGAATAGAGGATGAATAGAATCCTCCTGTTCCTAATTGATGGAGAAACTGCAAGGTTTGTCAGATTATCTGGTGTCATAACTCACTGGGACAGTGCAGTGGAAATCAAGACCCACTATTCCTGGAATTGTCACAAATGTGAGAATTTGATCAAGTCACCAAAATGGCCAATTCTACCTTGCTGTCTAATTTAGGTTAAAAGAATAAACACACTGGGTTTTTTCCATCAAGAAAATAGCTACTAATTGTAATCAAACTGTTTTTTAACCAATGGCAAAAAGGGGTCAAGTTGAATTGCTAATCTGTAACACTGTAACTATAAACTCTCACCCTTAAAATTCCCGTACACATACAAATAAAGCCACAGAGAGACAAAATACAGATATTATGAAGGAAAAGTCAGAAACACAGTTCAGGCACCATTCCAGATCATGGAGTTGCTGAGTTGATATCTTTAATGTCCTTTCAATTAATTCCAACTGTTTTCTGATGGTTCAAGTTCAAGGATAAACCTATTCTCAATCTTTCATTCACTGAACAAGGATTTATCTATTCTGTGCCTTTAAAGGTGTCTTTTTTTCCTCTTTTCTTTGAACAGGGAATTTGCAGAGGGAGCAGTTTATGGAAAAAGGCATGGGAAATTAGCTAGCTACTAGGGATCTTCTTTTACTTCTCTACGCAGAAGAGAGAGGGAGATGGACACTCTCTGCATGTTTTTGGATTCTCTTGGATGCTTTTGCTGTATTGTTCATGTGCAAGACTGTTACCGCCTTTCCAGGAACCAATCAAATGTTTGTTAGTACGCTGAGCTCTCCTGAACCCTCAATAACTGATGCCAATTGAAAAGCCAATCAAAATTGCCCTGAACAGACAGTGCCATTTTGTCTAGAATTCTTCCCCTTTACTGACACAACTTTTTGTTTAAAGAATGCTTTTCCATTTTAGTCCAGAAGTGGTTTTCACACTAAATTATTTTATCTTTGTTTTTCTTTGAACTATTTGATTTCCTGTGGGGGGAGAAAAGGTTATGGGATAAATGAAGCATGGTGATCAGACATAAATAATAGTGTACACACCATCTCTCCTTATCTTTACGTTAGAATGTAATGTTTACAGTGTTGCATCTAAATACTAAAGTTTACAGGAACTTGAAGGGTTTGATTGCAGATTCTGCAGTAGAGGCAGAGGAGCTGTGAGATGTGAAACAACAGCTCCACCATTAACTAAAAAGGGAAATTACAGTTTAAATTTGGAGATATGCATTTATAATGTTTGACATCCCTAACAAATTTAGGGATAGGCAATAAGACTCATACACAGGAAATAAAGGCAGAAAATGGTTTATAAATTTATTATAGATGACTCCATAATACAACCTGCATAAACAGATGGCCTTTCTTATCAAATTAAGAGAATGTTCTGTATACAGTAAGTCTGTATTAGCAAGTTATTACTTCTCCATTACTGCAATAATCCAGCCTGGCTTCTAACTAATGTAATCCATTGCAGAAAAAAAAAAATCATAGATTTTAAGCTTTGTTTGTGGTGTTCAAGGACATCAAATCTTCGATAGCAGCTTGTACACTATATGACACCTAAATGTAGTGAGGCATTGTGAAGAACGTAATCACACAAAATCTGACAATAGGTGTGAATACGGACAGGTCACCAAAATCAGAGGGAAAATGATAGATCTGAAGGTGCATCTTAAAGAAGCAGATAAAGGAAAAAGGGCAGATGGGGAATTTAAGAATTTATGACCCAGGCAATTGAGGGCAGGGCACCGATGCTGGAACAATGGTAATTGGACAGTCCAGAAATGGATTAGGCAGATTTCAGAGGGCTGTAGGATTACATTAGAGATATGGATGGATTTGCACAGGAATAAAAATATTTTAATCCAGGCATTGCCAGTCCAAGTCAGTGGACACAGGGTGGTGGCAGCAGTGTTTTGGATGAGCTTAACCCCCTTGTCTGAAGAGTTCCACATTGTACCTTTTTTCTCCATGTTAAAATACATATACTCCTGTTAGAATATCAAAATGTCTTCTGCAATAACCCTGTGTTCCTTACATTCATTCTGCAGTGAGCACAAGGGATTGTCCATGGTAGCATCAATAATCACAAAGTGTCTCCCACACAAAAAAAAGGTTTTTTTCTGCTGAATTACAACTCCAAACAAAATTTCAATTACTATTGAAATAAGATTAAATGAAATAAATTTAGATCAGAGGGATGGGAGTAACTTCTTCACACAGAGTAGGGACACTGCAGAATTAACTTGCGATTTATATACTCCTGAGTCTCCCTGTTTATCATTCTTCCTCCATGGCTGACTGTGCCTTCAATCCTTTTCTGTGCGGATGAAACCTTTTTGGTGAGTTTCAAGTGGTTGGACAAAAAAGTTGAAAAGTATGAAAAGAGATTGGGTAAAGGTAATAGGGTTCATTTGCTAACATGGAGGGTGAATTCCGACAGAGACTGATTGCGGTGAATGGAGTGTTTCCTTCCTGTGATAATGTGTAGTTCAATTTCCACTTTTAGTTATAGGAACAGGAGCAGCCCATTCATTCTCTCAAGCCTGCTCCATCATTTAATAAGTTCATGGTTGATCTTTAGCATAACTTCATTATGACTGCCTTCATTATGCCCATATCCCTTGATACCCTTTCTTACTAAAAAATTGACTGAGTTAATTTAAAAATTGAATTCACATTGATGCCACATGAGGAAGAAAGTTCCAAACCTCCACTACTGAGTGTCGAAGTGCCTTCTGACATCTCTCCTGAATGGTCTTGCCCTAACTTTTAGACTATGCCCCTTAGTTCTCGAATCTCCAACCAGTAGAAATAATTTATCATAGAAACTCTACAGTGTGGAACCAGACCATTCGGCTGATCAAGTCCACATCGATCCTTTGAAAAGCATCCTGCCCAGATCCACCCTGTAACCCTATAACCCTCGCAGACACCGGGAAAATGTGCAAACTCCACACAGACAGTCACCCAAGTTGGGAATCGAACCCGGGTCCCTGGTGCTGTGAGGTAGTAGTGCTAACCACTGAGACACTGTGCTGCCCTAGCTGTCCTGTCTTGCCCCATTAATATCCTGAAGACCTCGATTAGATCACCCTATAACCTTCTAAATTCCAGAGAATAAAGGTCTAATTTGTCTAATCTCGCCTCATAACTTAACCCTTAAAGTCCAGGTACTATCCTAGTAAACTGCATGAAACTCCCTCCACAGCCAAAACATCCTTCGTATGGTGTGGTATCCAGATCTGCTCTCAGTACTCTAAGTGGGATCTAACAAAGATTTTGTGTAATTGTAGCATGTCTGCATTCCTACGATTCAGCCCTTCAGATATGAAGGCCAGCATTCCATTAGTCTTTATTGACTATTTTCTGCACCTGTTCATGGGGCATTTTAAAAGCTAAGCACCTGAACCCCAATACATGTTAACTATCCACTGTATTTAACCTTGTGTCTTCTAAAAATATCCTGACCTATCCTTATTCCATCCTTGCTTAAATTAAAATCCATCTGCCACAGCTTTGCCCATTCACCTAATTTATCAATATCCTGTTGTAATTTTATGCTGTTATCAACACTGTCTACAATGCTGCCCAATTTTGTGTCGTCGGTAAATTTGAACATTTTACATTTATGGCATTATCCAAGTTGTTAATGAATATTGTGAATAATTGAGACCCCAATACACAGATCTTTGTGGGACATCACCTGTCACATCCTGCCAATTTGAGAACTTACCCATCATTCCAAGTCTCTGTTTCCTGATAATCAATTTCCTATCCATGTCAGTAATTTTCCTTCCGTTCCATGGTCTTCCACCTTAGCTAACAGTCTGTTGTGTGAGACTTTACCAAAAGCCTTCTGGAAGTCCAGATACACAACATCCATCAACTTACCTCTGTCCACAACCTTTATCACATCTTCAAAAAACTGAGGTTTGTCAAGCATGACCCATCCTTTACGAATCCATGGTAACTATCTCTCTGATTAACTGAAATTTTTCAAGGTGATCACTTAGCCTAACATCTGTGGCTATAATCAAGAATATGCTAATTGGTTTGAATTTCCCTGGTTTCCCTCTGTATCTATTAAGAGTGGAGTGACATGAGCAAATTTCCAATCCAGAAGTACAATTCCTGAATCCAGGAAATTCTAAAAGATTATTGTTAGGGCATCAGCAACGTGCTGTCATTGCTCCTTTAACACCAATGAATGGAAACCATTAGTTCCCAGGGATTTGTCTCTCTTCAGTTCCATTACTGACAATTTACTTAAGCTAATTTTATTTAGACCTGTCTCTGATCCTCTTAATTTCTTTGGGACCTCTGGCAAGTTATGCTCTTTTTCTGCTATGAATAGTGAAGCAAAATAATCGTTCAGCATGTCTGCCATTTCCCCGTGGTCATTGACAATATCCCCACTGGCTTCAGTGGACCAATAATACTCTTAACCAGCTGTTTTCCTTTTATATAAAGTCTCCGTTTATTGTCTTTTATGTCCATTGTAAGTTTTCTTCATGATCCTTTTTAGCTACTCTTATGAACTGTTTTATGGTCCTATTCCTTGGGATGTTTACCGTTTGTTGCATTTTTAAAAGTCCTTTCTTTTCATTTTTAGTCAGATATGTATAGTGTAGGTATCATCTTACTGGAGCTCTTCCAGCCGTTTGGAACAACAATGGAAAGGATAAAGATGCTCACGGCTCTTCGAGAGTCCCATATCTCAGAGGACTTTGCAAAGCAATGGCCTGTACATACTAAATATGTTAAGATACTAACCAGCCGAATCGCTTCCTGCAGACCGAGCGCAGATGAGATGTTGACCAGTGAACTCTTCCATAGTTCACCTGAGGTATGGATGAAAAGTTCATTTTGCTAAAATTGGTTAGGAAATAAAGACAAACTCCCCATTAAATAAACATAAATCCCTGTCAACATTCTTGTTTTTGTTCATAAATACCTTCGACAAATGAGGGAAGGACATTTGAAAAAGTGATTTTTTTTTTTTGTTTAGTATAGTGTTGTCAGCTAACCATCAGTTGTAGAGAAGTGGATATTACCCAGTTTCTCATCTGAGTTTAATTTAATGATTTAATTACACACAGCATAGTGGGTAGCAAGGCAGGACTTATACAATTAGTGGTGGGGTCCTGGGTAGTGTGTAGAACAGAGACCTAGGGTTTGAGGTACATAATTTTTTGAAATTTACGTCAAATGTAGACCAGGTGGTTAAGAAGGCATTTAGCCCTCTTGCCTTCATTGCTCAGACTTTTGAGGATAGAAATTGGGATGTCATTTTGAGGTTGTACAGGACGTTAGTGAGGCCTCTTCTGGAGTACTGTGTGCAATTCTGGTCACCCTGTTATAGGAAGGATATTATTAAACTACAGAGGGTTCAGATAAGATTTACTAGGACGTTGCTGGGAATGGAGGGTTTGAGTTATGAAAGTAGTCTGGAGAGGCTGGGACTTTTTTCACTGGAGCATCGGAGAGTGAGCAGTGACATTGTAGAGGTTTGTGAAATCATGAGGGGAATAGATAAAGTGAATAGTAAAGGTCCTTTCCTAAGGTGAGAGAATTCAAAACTAGGGGGCATAATTTTAAGGTGAGAGGGAAAGATTTAAAAAGTACTTGAAGGATGACTTTTTTTTTTTTTACAGTGGTTAGTGTGTGGAATGAACTGCCAGAGATGGTGGTGGATGCAGGTAGTTACAATGTTTAAATGACGTTTAAAAAGTACTTCAATAGGAAATATTTGGAGGGATGTGGTCCAAACACAGGCAAGTGGGACCAGTTTAGTTTGGACACTGGTCAGTGTGGACTAGTTGGACTGTATGACTCCATCTTTAATTAGAATGACAGACCCAGCAGTTTTGAGAAAATGCTATTTTGTCAGAAATGCAATCTTTCGGATGAGTCTTTAAATTGATGGTCCTGTCTGCCCTCTCAGAAATAAAAGATTCTGCAGCCACGATTCAAAGAGCAGGAGATTCTCCTTTATGTCCTGGTCAATTTTTATACCATAATCAACATCTCTAAAGTGTATTATTTGGTCGTTTATTTCATTTTAGGACCTCGCTGCATGAAAGTTGGAGATTGCATTCCCTACACCTGGAGTACCTATTTGAATTAGCTTTATTATCAATGTACTCACATGAGTACGGTGAAAAGTTTATAAGTTGCCACTTGCGGTGTCATTTTAGGCACGACGGTACCTAGGTACAGAGCAGAGAAACAAAGTTTAAAAAGTTATCTATTATGTGCTTCCCTACTATAAAGTAGAAAAACAAAGAAACAGTTAAAAATTCAACACCACAGTCCATAAGCACCTGATTATGCTGGGCTCACACACCTCATAAGAGCCCAACCTCACTGCCACTCTGGCTTGCCTGCTCCCCCTCTCACTGACTGCCAGGAGCTGCCTATTCCCATTCTGGCTGCCCCCAGTTCAGGAGCAGCTGCCTGCTCTAGCTGCCACCAACACTGGGGACCTCTCTCACTATCACATTGGGCTTGTCTTCCCCATGCTGCACAAACTCGCATCTCACATAAGGTAAGTAGCTTAAATTAAGAAAAAAAAATGAAAGAAGGAAACATTGTAAAAGTCGACAGAGCAGATGAGCTTTGAGTAGGAGCCCATACACTGTACTGCTACTCTGCTGCCATCTTGGTTTCTTTAAACCTAATTTACAGTAAGGCATTTTGGGACATTGAGCTCACGCAAGGTGCTGTGAAATACTTTCTCCTTGGTGCAGATGTGTGGTTTACTTAGACCAACGCTAGCCTTCAGATTATATTTCCTTAATTTTCTTGTGAAACTCAAGAATTTGGGGCTATAACAGGATTTTTGGATTGCTCAAGCAAAGAGCTGATGGGCTGGATAACCTTTGCTACTTCATCTGAAGCTTCACTGATTTTCTTCATTTTCCCCTACCCCAATATTTCACATAGGTAACTGTATCTCGAGACAACCTTGAACAGAAAGTAATTAACCAGGAGCAAGAAATTAAGAGCCTACAACAGAAAGTGATCGATCAGCAAGACGAAATCAGGAGTCTCTGGGAAATGATCAAATTACTAGCTGGGGAGCGAGAACCCAGCTAGAGATGTTCTTAATGAATTGGAGATAATTTCTTTGATTCCTTCCTCCCCCCATCTGAATTAATTTTGAGTGCCTCATGTATGACTGTTTTGTGAATGTTCTGTAAGATGACAGATTAAATATCAAATTTAAAAATGTTATCAAGGCTTTTCATTCATGGAAGGGCTATGCTTCAGTAGAGGCACTTATTGGAGTCAGAATATTTATCCTACCTTTCAGTTTGTCAAGACAATTTCAGAATTAACAATTTTGGAAGACGACAACCAAAACCTGTGCTACTTCCATGGCCACCACCTTCAGTACATTAGGATGTAGACTATCGGGCCTCGGTAATTTGTCAGCTTTCAATGCTGGAAATTTTAATGGGACTATTCTTTTACTAATAGTGATATATCAGAAAGGATAATAAGATTCTTTCTTTATTTCCTTCACATTTCTGAGAAGTTTAATTGTTTTCAATTACTGCAGAATTTCCTTGTTCTCAGTTATCAATTCTCCCACTTCAGAATGAAGGACATTTGTGTGCACTAGCCCTTTTCTTTTTACATACTTCTAAAAGCTCTTGTATTCTTTGCAAATGTGCACTCACTGTTTCCCCTTTTTTAAAAAAAAAAAAAAAATCAACATCTTAGTCCTCAGGCTTGTTACTCTTTCTAGCAGCTGACTCCTCTTTGAATCAAATAGTATTTTTTTTTTTGTTAGTTGTGTGGTACACTTTTCCTGTTGTGTTCTTCCACCCAGAAGGAATGTATAACTGTTGCAATGCATGCAATTATTCCTTTAATATTATCCACAATCATGTTTTATTAAAAAAAAAGTTACCTAATCGCAACCAACTCATCACTCATACAATTTCCTTTGTTTGGCTTTAGAACCCTTAGTTTAGATTGACTACTTAAAATTCTTCTTCGGATAGAAAGTGATGTTGTGGTCCTTTTTCCTCTCACCAAAACTAATTAACTCCTGGTTGCATAAAATCAAACTAGGATAGCCTATTCAGTTGGTTCAAGGTAGGAGTCTAGAAAGCATGTTGACACACTCTAGGAATTAATGCCTAGTATTATTGCTATTGCAGTATGCCCAGTCAATATGTAGATTAGACTTCAATAGCTGGTCCTAGGGGTTCAAGAAGGTACTTTACCCTTACTTTTAAAGGCAAGTAAAAATAGGCCATAAGTATGGCCTTGCCAGTGCTAAATATAGTGCTAAAATTCAAGTTTGTACTGCAAATTTCTAACTTATGGATCAGGAAATGCTGTTGTCTGGTGCAAATTATGTTAAATTGCTTCCTGGCTGCTTAGTTGCACAGGCACAGGGCAGCTGTGGGCAACCTGTTCTACTCACCAATCACATTCAGCTATTTTACTGTCACAGAGCACTGTAACAGTTACCCTCTGATCACAGTCCACATTACTATCAGAACTATTCAGTGTAAACAAAGTTGTCTGTAAGGTCAGCAACCTTGACTCTCCCAAAGTACAAGGTGATTATTATATTTTAATTCATACTGTTTAAAATTGTAAGTCTATAGGATGACACAGCATGTCAGATCACTGAACCCGCACACAGTCCATTGTTATTGGCACATCTTGTATTGCTGCTTGTGTGAATTACATGCATGGTGATGTTCCCAAAATTCAAATAATTAAAATGCATAACTTAAATTTAAAAAGATGTTTTTCAGTTAGAGTGCCTCTAAAACATTTATTAAATAAGTACTTCATGAGCAAACATTAAAATTTAAAAGCATAGGCATAAACTGCAAAGGACTAAATGTATAGATTCAACCATAAATATGATTCACTTTAACAGCTTTAGTGCTAGATGAAAGCATGCTAAATTCTCACATGATTTAACCCATCTCTGGACATTGGCTGGAACGTTGGCAAGCTCTGCCTGCTTCAAGGCACAGTAAAGCGTTACATCAGCCAATGTCAGATCAACTCCCACAAGCCAGGGGTTCTTGCCAAGGGCAGAATTTAAGGAACGTAGCACAGCTGCCTTCTCCTTGTTGCTACCCTTCTTCAGCTGGAAGATAGCAACATCCACCCAGTTGTCGATCTGTGTTGATGTCACCGCGTTATATTCACGGCCAAGAAGTGCAAAGAGGAAACGGGCAACATTCCCCTCGCCTTCAATGGCGCACGTGCTTTGGATGCTGAATTTCATCTGAGGTTTGTGTACTGCCAACAGAAAAACAAAAGCTGTCACATACAGACTAACCACAGCACTTACAATATTCAAAATTTCTAATTTGATAACATAATGGCCATGCCAACTATGGGCACTTCCTGTATGTGACAAGTGAAGATAATGCTCAGTAATTATCATCATATCCCTACAGTGTAGAAACAGGCCCTTTGGCCCAACAAGTCCACACTGACACTCAGAATATCAGACCCAGACCCAGACCTAGACCTATCCCCCTATAACTCACCTAATCGTCACATTCCTGAACACTACAGGCAATTTAGCATAGCCAATCCACCTAGCCTGCACATCTTTGGACTGTGGGAGGAAACCCACGCAGACACAGGGAGAACGTGCAAACTCCACACAGACCATCACCCAAGGGTGGGATCGAACCCAGGTCCCTGGCACTGTGAGGCAATAGTGCTAACCACTGAGCCACCGTGGCGCCCTAAATCCTCAGACATGGATCAATGAACAACCAATAAAAACACCAGAGGCGTATTGCAAAATCCATGCTGCTGGGGAAACTGGTACTGCACAATCAAGAACTGTCAAAGCTTACGACTGACACAGCAGCAATTGCAAAAGGATTCTTACACTCACCAGTTGGAGATTTACCTTTCGACATCACTTGCAAGCCTCTAGAAATATCCCTTCAAATGCCATCTGAGAATGAGCTGTTTAGCAACAGAAATGGCTATTTATCTTCTTCCTTCTCCTGTCAAATCTCTAGACTTAACTTCTGATCACTGATGTAGCTTGTCCAGGTTTCTGGATTACTTCATTTTTCTTAGTATTATTGGCACCGTACCCACTTTTGTGCAAGGTACCAAAGTCATTATTCCCTCCATAAGCTAAGTAAGTTAGCAAATTATAGGTCAATAGAGTGCAGTGACAGACATTTAAGGGGATATTTCAGAATACGCAGAATAGATACATTGCAATGTGTAAGAAAAAGAAAATCCAAGGATCCCACCTCCTTGGTTAACTAAAAGTGTTAAAGACAGTTGCAAACTTAAAGAAAAAAGCATACAACTGGGTGAACAGCAGAACAGGTCAGAAGATTTGGCAGAATATAAAAAAAGTATAGAATTACACCAAAAAAATTAATAAAGAATACAAGAGAAAGCTGGCCAGAAATATAAAAACAGATAAGAGTTTCTGTACATAGTTAAACAAGAAAAGTTTCAAGGTGAGCATTGGTACCACAGAAAGTCAGACTGGAGAATTAATAATGGAAAATATGAAACTGGAAGGTGAATTGAACAAGTATTTACTATCAGTCTTCACTGTAAAAAGATAATAAAAGAAGTGATAAATCCAGAAAATGGAATGAAAGGAAGAACTTAGGAAAAACCACAATCACCATCACTAGGGAGATGGTACTGAGCAAATTGTTTGAACTGCAGGCTGACAAGCGCCTGGGTCCTAATGGATTTCATCCTAGATCTCATCCTTAAAAGTGGCTAGTGAAATAGATGATGCATTAGTTCTAATTTTCCAAACTCCCTTAATTCAGAGACAGTCCTATTAGATTGATACATAGCAAATGTAACTTTTATTCAAAAGAGACACAAAAAGCAAGAAACTATAGGTCAGATGGCCTAATATTTGTCATAGGGAAAATGCTAGAAATGATAAACGAATACATCGCAGGGTACTTGGAAAAATTCAAAGTATTCAGGCAGAGTCAATGTGATTTTGCGAAAGAAAAATGATGTTTGACTAATCTATTGGAGTTCTTTGACGAAATAATGTGTGCTGTAGATAAAGGGGATCCAGTGGAAGTACTGCACTTGGACATCCACAGGCCATTTGATAAGCTGCCACAAAGCTTATTGTGAAAAATAAAAGTTAATGGTGTACAGGAAGTATATTGACAAAAGATTGGCTGTCTAACAGGACAGAATAGGGGTAATTGGGTCTTTTTCAGGACAGCAAGCTGAACAAGTTGTGTGCCACAGGGATCAGTGCTGGGACCTTAACTATTTATAATTCTTATAAATGACTTGGATGCAGGAATGCAAAATGGTTGCCAAATTAGATCATGGTTGGTCTCTACCTCAAAGATAGGCAGGAAAGACTAAGTATGCATCTGCTGGAGTTTAGAAAAGTTAAGAGGTAACTTAATTGAAACATATAAAATCCTAAAGGCTCTTGATAGGGTAGATGTGGACAGGCTGTTTCCTCTTATGGGAGAACCTAGAACAACAGGTCATTGCTTAAAAATCATAGTGCGCCCATTTAAAACAGATTCTTTTTCCCCCTCTGAGTTTCATGACAGTACATAATTAAAGGTTCAGTTTATTTTGCAAACATTAAGCTTGTTTTTAGAAAAGTTTCCAGTGCATCCTAATAGTTTTTACTCACCATCCTTCCAGACAAGAGTGAAGCCAAGTTGATATTCCCTTCGTGAATGACTGCAATTTCCCTCACCTAGACAGTTCCAGAGTTTGGAGGGAACATTTTGCACAGAAGAGTGTACGTGTACCGATGATAGCACCTTATATTGTTGACACAGCAAACCATGCAGAACTAATAGGGACAGTGGAACCTCAGAAGGATTAGCATTGATGACAATATCTTGCAGGACACCAGGACTCTAAAGTGAAGTGTAATTAAAAATAATTGTGAACGTTACGCTTTCATATAAACTGTAAACAGAAGGAAGTCATTCAATTAGATCATGGTTGGTCTGCACTTCAATTGGATAATGTAACAAAATTACAGAAATCTCAGTTTCAAATTAATTTGACCTAGCAATTAACAAGTAGAAAATCTCCTTTACTAGATTTCACTAGAGCCAAAGACAACTTTATGGCCAGACATGATTAGAGAGATATTGAGCATGTTCTTTATAGCAACAGAATTAGAGGCTTCAATTGTATGAACAGATTAGGTCGGTTATTTTACTGATGCAAAGGCTGCCCTTAACTACATTAAAAGGCCTACACCAAGTGTTAAATCAGAAAAAAAGTTTATATAGCACGCAGTTTTAAGTAACAGCAAGTTGTGCATTACTAATATCTGCATTATAGTTTAGGAGGTCAAATACAAAGTCAAAAGAAACTAACATGTTGCAAATTATCCATTTTATCTGCCAGACAAACTACCAAATGAATATTCTACAAAAGAAACAATCCTTATGATTAAAGATAAAGAAGAAACCATGGAGCACACAAGTAATAGTTGTTTGTATTGGTAAAAAAAAAATCTTTTTGGCCAGAAGTCAACTATAAAGTTTAAAGTGGTTGCTAACTGTAGTCAGTTGGAAATCACAAGAACTGTAAAAACAATTATATTTATCATATAGCAAAAAAAAGCATAAAAGTTAAAAGGGCAAATGCAGAATAAATATACAAAAGACATCAAACAACACAATCTTATACCAGTCTCAACAGTGCAGTTTAACTTTTAAATGGCTTCTCCATACATGAAGTCTGCACAAATGTTCCTGACCCCAAATCAAAAGGACAGTAAATCAGAACAATCCATTGAGACGTGTATAGCAATGCTAGAGCTCGCCTTATATGCGGAACATTGCTATAACACATTCTACAGGAAAGTGTACCAGTGCATACCAAGGTCAGAAGGGATCAGGGGAGAAATAGCTTGGCTACTGAAAGTGCAGTTGAAGAGAAAGGTCTTTAGGTCAATTTGAAAGTAATAAGAGTTATGTATTATATTTGGAATGAGAAAGGGGTACATTACACAGCATGTACTTGGAGCTACAAGAGAAACAGAAATATCTGTAGCTCAGTGAGCAAAAGCGAGCTTCTGTACATTAGCTGTAGCTCAATTAGTTGCACTTGCATCAATAATTGAAGATTGAGAGCATGACTTCCACTCCAGGGCTTGACAACAATCCCACCTGATATTCTGATACAGTAGCAAGGGACTGCTGCAGTGTCAGAGATGTTATCTTTTGGATAAGATGTTAAACAGAAGTCCCATTTGCTGTTGCAGGATGCAAGGAACAATATTTCAAAAAAGATTGGGGAAGACTTGGGCCAACATTTACCCCTAAATTAACAGATCATTGTTTGCATGAGTGAGTTACGTGTAGAGCGGCTACCACATTTCCAGTATTATGACAGTGACCACATTTAAAATCACTTCCTTGACTTTAAAGTGTTTTGGAACTTCCAGTGGTTGTGAAAAGTGCCGTATGAATGGAAACTTCATCCTTTATCATTAAAATGATCCTTAAAAGCACTTTTTGAGAAGAGATTCAAACTTACCTTTCCCAATACAGAATTTAAATTAGCTATAGTATGGATTTTTGGTACAAGACAAGCATGGTCAATCTCTGCAATATCAAGGTCAGCATCTGGCGTAAGCACAGTCTTCGAGAGCCCATCAACAACTGCCTTCAGATCATACAAACGTTTCAGTATTTCTGTTTGCCTCAATTCTAAGTTCTGGAGTGCTGGATATTCATCTGCATTCTGAAAACACAAGCAATTTATTAGGTACTATGTGTCGATGTTTGAGAGATCTCGCTGTTTGTAAACTGGCTGCTGTATTTCCCTAAACTGTACTTCATAAGTTGACTAGTGTGCACTGTAATATCATAAAGAGATGAAAGATGCTAAATAAATACAAGCTATTTTCTCTATTCACGTAAGAGTCAGGAATGAAAATGAAACTATTTTAATAGCTCATTAGAATGCTTTGAACAGCGTTCTACATTTGAGATAGTCAGGTTTTGCTACGTGCTGTAATAATAAAACTAAGCAATTTATGATGTGCCTTAGCTCTCCACATTGACATGTGCTAGCTCTTTATAAGAACGACCCAATTATGTTCCACTCCAATATTTTCTCCCCATAACCATGAGACATATTCCTTTTGAATAAATAAAAAATCCTATTTTCTTTCTTTTTAAAAAAGCTATTAAACGTCCAAGATGAAATGACAGTGAAATAAAAATAACATAATATTTAAATCTCAGAAAAAGGTTACTCAGCCATCTGGTCTATGCTCGTGCTTACACTCCATACAACTCTCATATCACTCCTTAAATTTAACTGTATCAAACTACTCTTCTATTCCTTTTTCCTTAGCGTGTTTATCTAGCTTTCTCTTAAACACGTCAATCCTAATCATTACAATCACAACTTTTGGTAGTGATTCTACAAATTCATTCTTTTTTTGGATTTCTGATTATTATATAATTATGGCTCTTTGTCTGGTGTCCCTCAAGTGGAAACACAGACTATCTTATCAAACACTTCCATAATTTTAAAGATCTCAATCAAGTCAGCTCTGAGCATTCTGTTTTTTAGAAAGTCCACACTGTTTAACCTTTCTGCTTGTTACAAGCTCTCAGTTCTGCAACATCCTCGTCAATGCTTTTACACTTCTTTCAGGATCTTTTTAAAATAAACAGGAAATCCAGACTCTACAACGCACAGGTGTTAGTTAATAATCAATACTGTAACTGAATAAGTTATTAATGAACATATATTCAAGTTAATTTACCAATTACAAGTTGGGTGTAAGATGTTGCACATGGTATGAAGAAAAGGAGCACATACATCTTGGAACTGAACATTTAAGTGGAAAAGAAACAAGAAAATAGATACACAAAATGTTACGATGCATTTTAATAAATGCACAGACAGTAAAGGTTAATGTCTAAAGATACAGAATTGAAAAAGAAGAGATGTTGAGATGAAATTTCCTCCTGTAACTCGAAACAGAAGTGTGATGCCTAATGCAAGTCAGTTGTACTAGAAATAGCATCTTTATAAACGCAGTTTTGAGACAATTCCTAGAATGATATTGCAACTGTTAAAATTCACTCATCAAAATATGCTGCCTTTCAGATGAGACATTAAGATCAGGTAGGCATAAAAGATCCGGTGTTATTTTGAAGAGAAGGAAAGTTATCCCAATAGCCTGATAATATTTATTACTGAATCAACATTCTAGAAAGCTAAATTTTGTATGAGCTTACCAAGTGCAAACTGACTAGTGCTACAAAAGTGACATTTTATTATAAAGCAGAGGTTGACCTCCCTCCGAGAACTAAAACTGAAACACCCAAAGACGAACACCTCACCCTATAATCTGTAAACGGAGTGTGAAAAGTGGTTTAACATGCCTTTCAGCAACTTCTAGAGGTTAAATAAAATAAACCCGACACTCACTTTACAATCAACAAGTAACCAAATATCTAACTCTAACAGTGAACAAAGTAACTAAGCTTTTAACAAACCCCCAAATAAATCCCTTTTAACTACTAACTATTCTCAAATAATACAAGATTCTAATGGGATGCTATTCCAATAAATACAGGACCCACTTATATTAAAAAAAAATTTAGTCTCTCAAAATTACAGCAAGGTTACATGTCTTCCAGAATGCTCTGTGCTTTCTCTGTTGATTCTTCTGTCAGGAATATTCACTAGTTGTGCTATGGGTACCTTTGTTCTTTTAGGTAGTGCTTTCTCTAAGTCTTAGAGGAGTCTGAGAGCACCAGCAATTCTCTCGAGAGCTGATGGCTTGTAACTCTGGCATATGGCGGTTAGGTCTCCTGTCTTTGCCCAAATGACCCTTCTTTTATACCAGTGATGACATTAATTTCTTACAATAGGGTTGGTCCTATGCTGTCAAAACTGGATTTAAATTCATTTGGTTTTTGGTATTTAAGTGCTTGGTTCAAATTGATTGGCTAAATTCAAAAGTAGTCTTGGTAAAAACTGCTGCACCAGCTAACTGCACAGCCTCTTGATACAAATGTTTCAATTCAGGTCCTCCCTTTGTACTTGCAAAACTTTCAAGCTGCTGCTCACAGACCTTTTAAAAGTCTAAGCATATAAAAAGCACATCATTTTTTACAGGGACCATGCAATGCTCCATCTCTCCCCACCCCTCCCTACTGCCTCCCAATACACAAGTACTCTGTGAAGAAAAGAAATATCAGAGTTAACGTTTTGGGTCCGGTGACTCTTCCTCAGCAGTTTTGAGACCTGAAACATTAACTCTGATTTTTTCATCACAGATGCTACCAGACCTGCTGAGCTTTTCCAGCAACTTCTGTTTTTGTTCCTGATTTACAGCATCTGCAGTTCTTTCAGTATTTACACAAGTACTCTACCCAATTTCACAACAATTTCCAGGATGGGAAATGCACTGTAGAAATACAAGTCTTCCTTCTACTCTTGCTTCTCTCTGCACAGAGGCTGTCAAATCTGCTGAGCATTTCCACTTCTAACACTTTATCCTATTTTAAACCCACACAGAACCCTGATTAAACATATGCTATACATTGCGAATGCACTAACATCCTGAAACCTTCAAAAGATAAGGTACAGGCAAGACAGTGAGGAGGCCCGAAGCGGCAGGGAGAGCTTGTTGGAGGGATGAGTCCTGGGCCCGTGGGGAGTGCATTTACCACAACCTACAACATCCATACCTGAGCATCAACAGCGCTTCGATGAATATTAGGTACCTTGTACATGCAGGTGGGCAGGTCAACAAAATCATCACTACGGAAATAAGAATTTACTTTGTACATCTCCATGACTGAAAACCCTAACTCAACCTAAACCGGCCCGAGCTAACTAACAACCTATCACAAAACACCAGACACCTCCCATCATCCCCCACAGCTCCCACTACGACCTTCTGGCTTATGATTGGATAGTGCGCACGTCAATCAAATGTGCGCAACCATAACGGTTTGATTAAATAATTTAGGATAAATTTATCGCCCTGTTTATTATACTTAAGTTCATTCATGCGTTGTAAAAGGCTTTATTTTAAACGGAGTACATGGCGGATGACAGGTGCTGTTAGTGCATTATGGATCTTGTAGTTTGTTGACGCGCAATTCCTGCGTTATTCTGTTAGGACTTTATTTCCCAGAGGGCACTTGGCCTGCTCGCTGGCGCGGCGCGGCGATGTCCACCCAAAGGAAGAGTTGAGCGGCGGGTAACTTGGGTTGGAGAATTCTTATTTATTACAGTCGCTCTGCTGAGGGCAATGGAAGCCTGGTGAGTCTCAGAGAATGGAGGCCCGGGCGTTGGAGTAGCTTCATTGTGTTCAGAATCTGGTTGTGAGGTGACAGTGACGGCCATGGCTCACTGGGTCGTGCTCTTGTCTCTGAATCAGAGGGTTGCCCCCTCCCCCACCCCCACCCCAACACACTGTAGGGATTCTGTGACCTCCAGATTAGGTGGGACTTGAACCCTGGTCTCCTGGCTCAGAGGTGGAGACACCACTACATCATAAGAGCCCTACTTCAGAGTAGTGTCCTAGGTCCAACAATCTTCATCAACGGAAATATCTTCATTCCTTCATCAACAACCATTCCACCATCATAAGATTAAATTCTACCTCTGCTCTGTTTGCTACAATTCTGATGGAATATCTTCTGGACCGGTTTCCAGAAATGGGCTCTAATGTTGAACTCTCCAACCTCTATCTCAAGCTGTTCAATCTAGTGTTTGGCTCTGTCTCTCTGTTTGCAGCAGAGAACAAACAGATGCTAAAGGTAAGGAGACGATGTAAGAATACTGTTGTATGAGGATATTATTTGGAGAGAAGTATTTTCACAATCTGAGGCTAGTATGGAAATAAAATTGAACACTTTTTTTCTTTATTTTTATTTTCTGCCTTTACATTCTATGTTTTGGTTTATTTTTCTGTGTTTTAAGATGGTGCTGAAGAATGGTGACACTATACACCAGTTTTCATTGTATTTTGTAACAAAATACACATGACAATAAATAAATCAAATCAAATTTTAAAAAGGGCGATGTTTGCTGATGATTGTGGAATATTCAGCACCATTTGCGACTCCTTAAATGCTGAAGCAGTTTATGTCCAAATGCAGCAAAACGTGGACTTGGGCTGAAAAGCGGCAAGTAACATTTGTGCCACAGAAATGCCAGGCAATGACCATCTCCAATGAGGCAACCATCCATTGCCATCACTAAATCACCCATTGTCAAGATCCTGGGAATTAGCATTGACCTGAAGCTAGACTGCTAAAGGTAATATCACCATAGTCCCAGAGGACCACTGGCTGCTCTTTCATTAGAGAGACACCTGGTAGTGGTTTAACTGGAGGGTTACCATGCCTCAGACAAGGAGTGAGGTTGAGAAGACAGAACTTTCATAGCAATCTTAGTCAGTGGGGAATTGCACCCATGCTGTTGGCATTGTGTTGCAAATTAGCCATCTGAACTGATCTAACTGACTCCCGAATTCCAGAACTAGCCATATAAATACAGTGGCTACAAAAGCAAGGCTAGGAATCTTGAACTAAGTAACTCACTTCTTGATTCCCAAAGTCTGTCCAGGAGTATGATTGAATACTCACTGCTTGCCTGGTTGAGTACAGCTCCAACAACGTTTCAGAAGCTTGAAACCATCCAGGTCAAAGCAGCTCACTTGATTGGCACCACATCCATGTCCTCCACCACTGATGCTCAGTAACAGCAGTGTACCATCTAAAAGATGCAGTGCACAAACTCACCAAGGCTTCTTAGACAGCACATTCCAAACCCATGACCAGTTCCACCTTGAGGAACAAGGGCGACAGATACATGGGAACACCACAACTCCAAGTCCTCTCCAGGCCACTCACATCCTGCTTTGGAAATATATTGTCATTCCTTTAGTGTCACTTGGTCCAAATCCCAAAATTTCCTCCCTAATGGCATTATAAATCTACATACAGCCCGTTGGCTGCAGCACTCAAGAAGACAGCCACCTTCTTGAGCAGAATTACGGATGGGCAATAAATGCTGGCCCAGTCAGCAATACACACATCTCATGAGTGAATTAAAAATAAAGTCCTGTTCGCTCATCAGCCCTGTGCTGATGGATCTACACTGGTTCTGGTCTCAACAAACACTTTAATTTTAAAATTTGCATCTTTGTTTTGAAATTCCTCTGTATTGCACACTTCCCTATCTCTTAATCTCTGCAGCCCCACAATCCTCTGAGATATCTTTATTCTGGAATATTTCAGTTCTGGCCTCTCATACATCCAGAACTTCATCGCTCTGGCATTGGTGACTGTTTCTTCAGCTGTCATAGTCCTAAGGTCTCCTTGTACCTCTCCACCTTCCCCTTAATAGCCTCTTTGAAGTCTTCCTCTTTGACCAAGCTTTTATCACCTATATTTTTCTTTGGCTTCGTCTGCAATTTTTGTTTTGTTAAACTCACTTAAAGTACCTTAGGATATTTCTGTATGTTGAAGTTACTGTATGAATGGAAGTTGTTGTATAGACCTGAACATGTTATCTGGTACAGTGGATCCCTGATTTATGAACACCTGACTTATGAACCCTCGTATATAAGAATTTGACTTCATACAGTAATGTAATTTCAAGATCAGATGTGTAAACATTTCTTGTACTTACAAATGGCTCCTTTATATTGTCCTGCATTGTGGTCTGACACGTATACAAATCAACTTGTGAATGGACCCATTCACAACCCTGTGCTGAAGGAAGTTCTGCATTGTGAAGGCTGCCAGCCTTTTGATGATATGTTAAACCATTCTCAGGCAGATGCCAAAAGATGTTGTGGAAAATAAAAAGTATGGAGATTTCCAGTGTTCTCACCAATATTTAATCCTGTAACAACACTGCTAATAACAGAGTTACTGGCTAATCACCTTGCTGCTGCATTTGCCTACATGGCAACACTGAGCTTCATGCTGATTGTGAAGTGCTTTAAGTTGCTTGAGAATGTGAAAGGTGTTCTACAGATGAAAGTTTGCGTTACTCTTTTATTGTGCTACTTTATGCTGAAAACTAGATGCCTAGATCAGGAACAGAATGATGAGGTCACTGGAAAAACAAAGTCTTCAGATCTCTTTCTGAATAAATTATAGTTCCCTTCTTGCAATATTGAACTGTCCATCATGATGTGAAGGCCTAGTGACAGTTTATTGTATATGAGATCGTATATCAAAGTAAATTATCAGATTAATGAAAGTAACGTGTATTTTAAGCATTCTCAAGAAGTCTGCATATAATCCAATATCAAAGAGCGAGTGTGTTATTAGTGTGTATGTGCCTGTTAATTGTACCATGATTAACAAAATTATTTTTTATGTGCTGAATGTCATTTTGTTTCAATACTATTCCATTTTCTGTTGATTTAGCTCAGCGCCTGCTGGTGTCATCAAGCCAATTGACCGACAGTCAGTCCACCAGATTTGTTCAGGGCAAGTTGTGTTAAGCCTCAGCACTGCTGTAAAAGAGTTGGTGGAAAACAGTCTGGATGCTGGAGCTACTAATATTGGTGAGGACAAAAATGAATAATCCAAACTTACATATCTTTTCAGCAGCTTATCTTTAAATACTAAGCAGGCAGTAACTCTTTCAAGAAACCAGTAGGATCAAGTTGGGTTAATGACCTCTCTCTGTGATGTGACATTCTATGGTAAAAAAGTTGTGCTTCCATGTATTTCACACAACTGTTTTGAAGAGATCCTATTCGTTTATTAGTTATATATCAGTTGACAAATTGGCAAATGCCAACACCAGCTTGCATTTTGCAACTTTAATGTAATGCAGGTCTCCATGGTACTTTACGAAAGGAGCAGGAGCTATAGGGAAGGGATATGGGAAGTGATTGAAGGTGCAGTCAAAGTGAATCTTGTGGAGGCTTTTAAAGATGGTGGAAGATATAATAAGACAAAATTTTAGGAAGGAAATTGTAGAGCACCAATAACTGAGATGTAGAGACTTAATTTAAAAATATTAAAAATGTAACATGGCTTTCAGATATCACGTCAGCATCTTAACTCTTATTAACAAGGTGTGGAGCTGGAGGAACACAGCAGGCCAGGCAGCATCGGAGGAGCAGGAAAGCTGACGTTTCGGGTCTGGACCCT